TTTAAAAACAAATACGGCACTGACAATTGTTGGAGGTGATATTTTCCTCCAGCTGTTTTGCACTGGGCTTGGGTGCTGTATAAACATTACCTGCTGTGATTTACATAAACACTTAGGCAAGCACCACCCTTAACGAGTAGAAAACATACACGTCTTCAGTGGAAATGTTTATATTCTCAAGTATGTAATCACTAGTCTGTGTTTGTACCACAGGAATATTTAAATGTCTGTGGTGGACTGCTGACCCTAATGGAAGTATTTATGAGTGTGCCTCAGGGACAGCCCGCCTGGACAAGCTCAGGGCTCCTTCCTCACGTAACATGATACTGGACACCCCTGAGCATCCAGGTGGCTCCTGATTTGCAGGTGAGAGAAGGCACGGCCACCGGCTGTGCTTGGAGCTGTGCTTGCAGGCTCTCTGGAGAGCAGGACAGCCCAGGGCAGCTGAGAAGCAGCCGCTGAAATACAACATGGGCAGGCTCTGCAGGTGCCTTACAGACCTGGGCCCCAAAATATGAAAATCACAATTCCCATTCTGAGAAGATTTGCACATCGACTTCACACTTCTCTTAATGAACTCTTTTTAATTTGAGTAGATGTGCTCTCTGCCCTGAAGTTAAGCGTATGTGTTCAGCGTGCAGGGACAATGTTCTGAGTACAGATCTGCTCTGGAAGAAGCAAGCAGTTTTTCCTCAGCACGGTATCTAAGACACAGTTGAGTTTCAGGGCTGGGAGGGATCTTTAGATTCCCAGAGCAGATAAAACAGCTGGTGAAAGGCTAATGCACAGAAAATACATGGCTTATGTACTCTGGGATTTCTTTTCTTAGCACAGTTTCTATCAACAAACAGTTTACTTAGTGTCATGATAATGGGTTTCATAACTGAAAAAAAAATAAGAATCATAAAGTCAGTATATTACTGTTCACTACATGAGGTTAATTATCTGTATGGCAGCATATGTTCTAAGACAGGTTTTTTGGCAGGTAAAGTGACTGGTGTGTCTACACTCAGGACTTTTTCCAAATAATTCAAGTAAAGCTTCATGTAAAGAAAGAAACATTTGTGAGGAAAGGGGTACAGAACGTAAACAGCTAAATCCTACATTTTCCAGCATTAGGGTAGTAACATGCATCTGATGATCAAATCCCATGTACTGTCATTACTTTGACTGTAGTTGCAACTGGTATTGATTTAATGTTCACTAATTTTGAGGTGCCCAAGCTGCAAAACCAAACAAAGTGTGTGTTCAGTAACCCCAAGAACAAACACAGCTCCTCTACAGATTTGCCAAATAATAGCCATTGTGAAAATACAGGCATCTCATCTATTCCCTCTCTGTGGCAGCAACATTAGAAGATCCAAGTATCTCAATCATGACAATCACCTTTACTTTGCAAAATACCAGTTCTCACACAGAGACATTTGCCTTGATTGATCATTAGGCATACCTGTGGCACATGTCCCTACCAAAGTACAAATCAAGTATTTCTGGTTTGGGTTAGTATAAATCAGCTTTTCCATACGGTCCTAAGCTGCCAAAGAGTAATATATGTTATTGATTATTTACTTAAATACGTTTGTAGCTCAAAGCCTACACTCTGCAGATTCTAAAAAGACATTAGGAAATATTCCAAACATGTCTTGATTTAATGCTAACTAAAAATATCTTATCCTCAGATTACAGAGTGGGATGTCAAAGGTGAGAATATTTGTCCTGGACATCCGACATGAATCCCTGTTCCATACATATGACCTGGGTTCCACGGAAAGTACAGTTCCTTTCTTGCCCTCTTCAGAATAAATTCCCTTAGCTTTCTTAGATCACTTCTAGGTGGTCTAAATAAGTTTTTGGTTTTGACTGAAATCTGCTGATAACCAGTGAAAAACCTCAATCATCTCTTATATGTAATGTGTTTTACTTATCTAAAAAATAGTCTGAATAACTCTGACATTTGAAAATTCTAGGATTTGGGAGGGAGGAAGGGAAGCTGTATTTCAAAACCAGAAAAACAGTTCAGGAAATTCCAGTCAGCTGCACTCCTTGGGCCTGTGAGTCTACTTTAATTAGCACTTCCAGCTGGCCAGATTGTTGCTAAGAAGGTAGTTCGAGAGAACTCAATGAGTAATGTCAGAAATGTTGATACCTCAGGATTTGAGAACAAAACCAGCTTAAATGGAAGAATATGTTAATTAGATATCAAGACATTCAAGAATAATCCCTTTACTGAGAAACCTGATAATACTTGAATCAGCTATTTTGCTTTTACTAAAACATCTACATTGAAAGGCTTCACCAAATTACCTATTTTTTACTGATCACAGTTTACTTCATCATAATAGTTGACAAACAAGATGTTACAATCTTGACTGGTGTTTAAAAGCCTCACCAATCCTTCCCTTGAAAGATTAACTTAAAATACAGAAAATGGGCCACTTTATTCTCTCTTGGTAGTTCTGTAATAAAAGGTTGATTGTTCAAGCAGCAGCATTCAATTATTTTGTTTCTGATACTATCTACATGTAAAAAAACCTAGCTAGGCTCAGCTGGTCCCTGTAGGCTTTCCAGTTCTAGCCTTCAGTACAAGAATGCAAAATAAAAAAATCAGAGCCTCACAATTAACATTCAAAATGTCAAGTGTTATGTTGTCAAGTTAAAGAATGAAATTTGCTTTCAGGAATATCAGATATAGAAAAGCTTCTGGAGTGTTTACCTGTTTTTTTAGTGAAACTCATTCTTCAGATATGTTTGCTGGAGAAAAATATGCTAGCTAGGGAAGTCAGAGCTGCATCCAGTGTTCAGAGAAGCTGCCCACAAATGTAGCCCTCTGGTTCTTGTTGAATCAGTCGTGATATTAGAGCTCTATAACAAACATTGAAAACTTATGCCATATTAACAGAGTTGAAGCAGAAAACAAATGGTTCCCTATCTGTGGTTTTGTTTTACTTCCCCCCCCCCCCCCCCCCCCAGGACCTGGGATGCTTAAACAATAGACGTGCAGACCAAAAGCAAATAAATTTATTGCTCTGATTGTGATGGTTGAAAGAAAAACAACGCTGACCTTCAAAAGTTCAGGGAGCAAAATAAATACAGAGTTTTCAAATTAGGCATCAAAATGAGACCACTGAATAACATCCTGAAAACATGGTGAGAATATACATCCAGTATAAAATAAACCAGCTTTCAAAGGGAAAGTCATGTGAATTACTCAAACCACTTTGAAATTAGTGTTAATTTTGGTAGTTGGCATGAATTTTAGCCCCACATTTACTCACTTTTGCTGAATGATCTTATAGGTGGGAAACTGAAAGGACAGGAGTGTTTCAGAGGAGAAAATCAATGCTGTTACAATGGATCCTCAGAAACAGCAACAGGGGCATGACAAAGCAGCTCTGGCATTGGAAGGAAGCTTGGCAGTGCTGAACAATCAGATAAAGCACTTTTTACTTGCAAGCCAGTTGAAGCAGGCCCCTAAACCGACCAGTGCACAGATGTGTTCTGTTCCTTGAAAATCTCAGCTCTTATTTAAGAGAAAGGGATAAAGTAGGAATAAAGCCAACACAGAAATGCCGGTAACTTTACAAAACATGATGGGTTTACCAGAAAGTGTAAAATTCTTTGTCCATCATTGAGAAGTTTGTTAAATGGTTTGTGTGTGTTGTGGTTTGCTAATGGTCTTTTTTTTCTCACAAAAAAATTATACAATCTATATATCCTATCATGCTGAGTGTCTGTTGTCTTGTCCTGATGACCTGCAGTTCATATTTGCAAAACTGCAACATTTCTTTTGCCAAGACACAGGTTCCAAGAAGCCCATGGAGGCTGTGCTGAGATATACTTACACTGGGAGCAGAGGCACAATCATGCACAAGAACCACGTCCTTTGGGTAATTCATATTTCCTGCCATTCTGAGAGAAGCTCTGCCATCCTCCTTCTCCCTCCCCAGCTGATTCAATCCCTTGCTGAAAGGTAATACCGCAAAATCCACCCTTTGTTATCCAGTAGGAGAGCAGCAGTAAACAATTCAAGGACAATAGCCACTAGACATATGGAAAACATCTCATTTTTACTGAGCTGCCACATGCAGATCCGTTGCTAATGAGAATTCCTGAAGTTTGAAAACTACTATAACCTGCTTGCTTGTTGTTGTTGAAAACCCCGTACTTTTTGTGGAATGGAAGATCCCTCTAGAAGCTCTTAAATGACACAGAAAAGTTTGGTTTTGGTTTTTTAACGACTACACTTTAAACTGGAGAAGTACTAGAAAATACAGGTTAAAGAACAGCTCAACAATGTCACGTAGTAGGCCAATAGCGACCTCATACTTCACATTTCCAGTTACTATCGTGGCTTTTAAAAAGTCTTTTGTGCTGTGCAGCCTCTTGGTTATTTGGTAGAGCCCAGTAAAATCCCCATTTCCAGATCTGAGAGGGCTGTGTTATCTCCTGGACTCTTGCTACATGCCCGTGGCACTTAGCGGGGGTTCCTCTCCCAAGGATGAGCGATAGCAGCCAGTGGGGACAACAACCCTCACGTCTCCACTGCACGTTTGCTGCCCGTGGAGCCAAGGGTGACCGTCTGAAGGGACGATGACAGCAGGCACACGGGGCTGGACCCCCCGCACCCTGCTCACCCGAGAGTCTCGTGGCACAGAGGGCGGCTGGCTCAGCTCGGCTTCTCGGCTGCGCTGGAGGCAGACGGGATGCCAAGCAAGTCTGTAAAAGTCCTGGAGGTCAGGACACGGTTTTTCAGAGAGGACCCTCGCAGAGACTCCTTCCCTAGCTCTGGGGATCCCCCGCACCGCCAGACCCCCGCCGGGTCCCCCCTCAGGGGGCAGCGGCGGGAGGGCTGGGCGGGCTCCTGGGCGGGCGGCACCGCACCGGACCCGCCTCTCCGCCCGGGGCCGGCCGCCGAGCACCCTCCTCCTCCTCCCCCGCGCCGAGGCGAGGGGCTGCCCGCGGCTCCGGGGCCACACAAAGCGGCGAGTGGCAGTGCCTTCCCCGCCGCCCTCCCGGCGGCAGCCGCGCCCGGGGCCGGCCGGAGGCGCTGGGCAGCCCCGCCGCGCCCACCATGGAGCCGCCTGTGCCTCCTCAGGAGCAGCCCCCGCGCCCTCGCTCGCACACGGTCACCACCACCAGCAGCTCCTTCACCGCCAACCTGTCGGCCAGCTCCAGCACCCTCGCCTACGACAGGGAGTTCCTGCGGACCGTGCCCGGGCTCCTTATGGTGACCGAGATCGTGAGTGACCCCGGGCAGGCGGCGGGAGTCGGGCCGGCGTGGGGGGCGCGGAGGGGCGGGGGATCCTCGGCCTGGCATTGCTGTGGTGTGGAATTGGGGTGTTTTCCCCTCCGTGCATCACCCCGTGCGGGTGAGATGCGTCCGTGCCCGCAGGTGAAGCGCGGGGAAAGGACGAGCCCGTGGTTGCGAGAGCCGCTCTGCGGCCGGGGCGCGAACCTCCCGCCTGGAAACTACCGACAAATGGAAAAGTAACACGGGGCACACGCGGTCTGTTCAGCCTCCTGCAGCGTCTGCGGTATCATCACCTCCCGTAGCGGAAAGATTTTTGGAGAGTTCTCTGTAACCACATTGGCTGTGTACGCTTCGCACTTCATAGCGCATGATGTGAGAGTTAATTAGGCAACTTACTCGTCTTCTAGGTCAATAAAAACAATTTCCTTATGCTCTTAGTGGTTAATTACACCTAAGCAGAGCAGGAGATGAAGTAACAACTTTTGCGTTTGGTAGTGATTTTATTTTTTGCAGGTACTCCCACAGAAGGTGGAAATGAACTTACAGAGGGCCAGGCGGTGCAGGGTTCAGTCACTTGCCTTAGTGGTAGGTGGTGAACAGCACAATGCTGGGATCCCTCTGCAGGCCTGCGTGCCCTCAGTGTGTTAAGCAACAGATGTTCAGCATCTCCTCCTAAAAATAATGTGTTTAATGCTACTTATCTACACTATTAATAATTAAGGAACTTATAGAGCTGGTTGTCCCAAATAACTTTTTGAGTTTCCTATGTGATGTTTCTGGTGTGTTGATGTTGGAAGGATTAACTTATCTGACCACATTCGTTTTCAAGGCTTGAAAACATTGTGCTTCACCAGAGCAGTGGAATGGTTGTTGGTTTTGCTAACTTCAGAGTTAAAATAACCAAGCAGAGCTTCGTGTTGATGTGTGGTGTAAGACCTCTGGCAGGAACAATGCCATCGGCAAGGGGATGCACATTGAGATGCCAGCTTGCTGTGTGGGCAAGTATTGGTAAGGCTGTGAAGTCAGAGCCTGCTACCAGCTGGTACCTCTTATGCTGGTGTCGTTGGGAATTCTGTCAATCTTCAGCAGATACGTGATTGTTTTGGTTGTTAAATAGAGGAGGTGCTTCACTGCCAAAGTTGTGGTAGATCTGTGAATAACGAAGTCTTAGTGTTTGAAAGAACAGCTGCTTTCTTTTCCACTCCTTTTCAGTTAGTAATTACAACAGTTATGAACCTTTCTTGTACTTTATCTGAAGAGTGATCCCGCTGTAGATTGTTAGAGAGGTGCCCAAGGCTTTTCCCAAGCCCTGATGGAATGTCATGTATTTATCCTGAATCAGCTACACTTACATTGAGCTACATGGCCACAGGGCATGGGCAGGTTCTTGCTTACTCTTTGCTGGAAGTGTGCTTTCTAGTTTGTGTTGACAGGTGTTGATGTGCAGGTTACCTTTCTGAACAGTGATGATGGTTTTTAGGGGGATTTTGTTTCCTGTCAGCCATTCCTCATTCCTGGAACAATTATAAAATTATTCTTTTAGCCGCCATTTTGAGATACTTGAGTCCATTGACATTTAGAGGCAGATTTGATTTAAGTTTCATAAGTACTTGAAAACACATTTACCAGCTTCAAAAGAATCAACGCTACCGGATTTGTAGGATAGTGTAGAGTTCTGTCAGCCCTACAGGCTTCCATGAATGTACTTTTATTGATCAGCAGTGTGAAGGCCAGCAGTTCCTGGCTTCAGAGAGGGTGACAGGAGTCTCTCGATGTAGATTAACTTTTACTGGTTTGTGATGATGTATTTGAGAGAATGGAGGACAGTTCTAATATGAAATTGAAAGCAGTAAGGCAGGTCCTACAGAAGTAGAGTACTGACAGTGCCTTTGAGACAATATTTCTGGTTCTTAACTCTTAACTACTTATTTTAAAGCAGCTGTGAAATTTTAAATCTGTTCTGTGAAATTAAAGGAAAAGAGAAGCATTAGTGAATTTTCTGATACAGAACTAATTGAAAAAATCCCACAGTTATTAAAATTAAACAGTGAGTTTATGTGTGTGTGTGTATATATATATATATATTTGGCATTGATTTATGGTCAAATGTTTTCCATCAGTTCTGCATATTCTTTTCTTTTTCTAACAGAAAATGTGTTTTAAAAGATCGTTACACAAGTTCTCTATTTCAAAATTGGCTGTGCATATTCAGCAGTAATGGAGTTTTGTACCCTGAGTCTACCTGTTCCGATTGTTGTGGCCTGCCTTCAGAGATTGGCCCTTCAGGGTGTTTCTGACCCTCAGTACTGATCCCTCAGCTCACAGCATGATCCTTCTGCTAAGGATTTACAAAGCTGCAAATGACACCAACTCATATGTTGGAAAGGGGACTGGTTTTAGTAATATCTGTTATCACTGCAGTTACTCATCTGCGAGACCCCATGTTCACTGATAACGTGTTAAAGCTAAGCTCAGGGTGTTAGACAGCAGTGCTGAGTGTTCCCAGTATGTGCTGTGGGGCTGCATAAATACTTGATTATTGCCACTGTCAGTCAGCAATGTGCATGCAGCAAGAGAAGTGAAGTTTTTTGGTCTCCTGGCTCGGAGACTGGAACTCTTCTTCTCTGTGTAGGCAAAGGGTAAATCCATGTTATTCTTTGACCAAAGAAAATGGAAAAGCAGAAAGTCACCACATAAACTAAATCTTCCAGTCCCTTACATGAAGGATCTTGATCAGGTTTTGTTTCCACATCCCTAATTTGGGTGCTGCGAAGATGAATTAAGTGCTGCGTGGATTTCCATGTGTGCTGGTAACCAGCCTACATCTGCACTGAGACTGTGGTTTAATGGCACAGTAAATTCAGCTTAACAGCTCCTACTCAGAGATTCTTTGTAGTGCTGCAAAGCTCTGGTCTGCTATTAACTCAGTCTACTGTTTCCAATTTGTTCAAAACGAGTTAGCTTTATAAAGACAGGTTTTGTGATGGATCAGGTGTCATCTGTCCTTTATGTAGCTGCTCTAGAGCCGGCATAAATCTGGGATGAGGTTGACTGTGCATGCTGAGCAGTAATAGAGTCATGTAGCCGAACCTGGTTCAGCTTAATTCTGCAATGCCGTTTGGTCTGGCACTGCACACATCCAGTATGAATGCACACACAAGCGCAGCCTGAAGTGTAGGCTAAATTGGCTGGTGCTGACAGATTTCCATTGCCTTCTACATCTGCCTCCATGAGCAGGGCGGGTGCAAGGTTTCCTGCCACTCACTGGGAAAGGACTGGGATTAGTTTTTTTCAGTGCAAGGACCGAAATAGAAAATGCCATTGATTTCTGAGGGCGGCATTTGGGAAGTGGCATAAAACGCAACTTGGTGCATGGAATCTTATCCAAAGTACTTACATATAGAGCAGTGAAGCTTGCTGGACAAGGCAGGGGCTTCTGGCTCCGGAGATTTGGATTCACTGGCCTTAGCTGGCCAGTGACTACTGAAAATTTAGATCTGTAACTTATCTGAGTGCCTTATCCGTTCATGGAATATGGATACAAGTCTTTGAAAGGCACGCTTTGATCTGTTGGTGGAAAGTAATACATAAGACATAAGCAGTGTTACAGGAAGTCTTTAAATGAGATGTCAATCACCTGGGTTGACACTGCAGTAAAAACATATCATATAGAAGAATGGATACTTATTCCTGCAGTGTAGCACCAACACCACCACCCCTGGAGGATTTATCCTTTCAAGAGAAGCAAGTGTAGCGATTTGCAGAGATGCCTTTTGAATGTCTCCTTTCTGTACAATGATGGCCCAGAGAAACTATGTTTATCTTCCTGAGGCTTTTATGGCCAAGATAAATGATGGCTAGTGATACCTTCTCAGAGCTTTGAATCAGCTTCTCAGGTCAAGCATTATGGATCACTTTGGGAAGGTGGAGAGTTTTGTGGTTGCTATGGATGTAGTTATAAAGATGTTTACTTTCTGGCATGATGACACTGATTCCTTCAGATAGTTGCTTCACACCAGTGTTTTCCTAGATGCAGTCTCTCGTAAAACTTGCGCTACTAATTTTAAGGCTTGTGATGGCTATTTGACCTTGAAAATAACACATACTTATTTTGTGTCAAGGTTGTGTGAGTGATATCTTGTGATGGTGTAAATTTTAGTCAATTGTAATTACAGTTGCATTTCTTTTTGCTGTTCTATGCAGATTATTCTTTGAGTGAAACGCCCAGAACAAGATAGGTACTTGAAATAGAAGCCTGATAGGTTATTTACTTTATTAGCACCATATAAAACTGTGGTTCAGATTTGTTTCTGGACAATAAAAGTAATTTTGATCACTGTTTAATTATTCTTCAAATGCAAGACCTTTGAATGTTTAATACATAAAGGGAGTCTTGTTGAATTTATTTCTTCTAATAGAATGGTGAGCCTCAGAATATTAAATAGATATTGAAAGTTATGTCGGATTTAAGATATTGAGGTTACCAAAACCAGAACAACTGAACATTTCCAAGTATTGTTCAGCAGACTTTTCTTCCTTTTTTTTTTTTCCTCTGAGAGATGCATCAGAATCACCTACAGATAATCAAGTTTTGAATTAAGTTAGCAATACAATTACATAAATGTTAAGAAAAACAGAAGTAAACAGAACTGAGACAGGGGACCATCTACTGTAAAAAAGCTAAAAGAAAAAAATTATGCTTAAAGCTCACCTTGCATTTAATCTCATGCCCTCTCTGACTGCAGTTCAAAGTTTTGTGTGTAGATCCCATCCTCTACCCTCACACCCAGTTCTTGGAATAGCCCTCAGAAACACAGAGGTTGTTCCATAAAACCCCTTTCCTCACCTGAGTAGCAGCAAGGCTTTCTCTTCTTTCAGGAACAGTAGAGATTTTTTTCTTTTTTCTTCTTATAATGCAGTTTTTACTCCAGTTTTAGTGTGTCTGCTTGCAGTTTGTTGACAATACCAAGGCACTTTCTGACATGTTG